TTTTTTTTTTTTTATTTTATTTTTTTTTTTTCAGATGGGTTTTAGTTTTTGTTTTTGGTGCTGAGGACCGAACCCAGGACTTCCAGCTTGCTAGGCAAGCGTTCTACCACTGAGCTAAATCCCCATCCCCAAACCCTGTCTCAAAAAAAAAACCAGATAATCTATGAAATTCTCAGGCTGACTGTGGTGGCACATGTCTATAATTCCAGCACTCAGGAGGCTGAGGCAGCAGGATCGTCATGAGTTGGAGGCTACATAGTGAGTTCAAGGCCAGCCTGAATACATAGCAAGACCCTGTCTTAGAAAACAAATAAAAGTCTATGAAATCCTGAACCCCTGTTGCTTTGCAAGTCTTTTGAGTCTTTTACCACTTTAATTTTTTTTGAGTTTTTTACCGTTGTAAGTGAATTGAAACTGAAAATTAGAGACAGTATGGTAATGCCTAAATCTATGCGGAAGACCCATAATCAGAGAAAAAGCTTTGCTAACAAGAAATAACTGGTGAATATACTTTATATACTTCCTGGTAAAAGTAAAATTTTATCTGGAGGCTGGGAGTTTAGCTCAGTGGTGGAGCACTTGGCTAGTATGTGCTCAACTCCAGCATCTCAAAAGTAAAAAATAGCTGAGTGTGGTGGCACACGCCTGTGATCCAAGCCTTGAGGTTATGAGTTCAAAGCTGCCTGTATTGAGTGGGACCTTGTTCAAAAACCAAAAAATAAGTTTTTCTGATGTTCCACTTGAAAAAATAAGCTTTGGTCAGGGCACATCAGGTAAAGAGAGCTTGTACTGGTCTGTGATCTTCATCCCAAGGTAGACCTTTTTAAAGATAACACAGTAACAGTCTTACAACGCCAGGTCAAAACAGCGCTTTTTAATTTGCATGCATTCTCCTTGCCTAAGATCTGTGTAAAAATACCTCATTATAGTTCATATTCAAACGCAATGTTTACTATGTTTTCTTCACAGAACATTCAGAAGATTCTTGGCCTTGCCCCTTCACGAGCCGCCACCAAGCAGGCAGGTGGATTTCTTGGCCCTCCACCTCCTTCTGGAAAGTTTTCTTGAATTTAAGCAGAACCCATTAATTCCTGTCATTCTTTTCAGACACTCATGTCAGACTGGCAACTATTTTATAGCAAGAGCTGTAGGGCCTCCATCTTGTTTGGAATTGTTTCTCAGCTTTTTTAATGGGATTAGGTGCCTAACAAACAGAAGAGTGCTTTTGGTCACAGATAATTTTTTTTAATTAGTGCACTGATTAGTTAAGTTCAGGTGATTTTTATGTAACGTAAAACAAATATCTTCCTTGCTTTGCTTACGTACACATTTGCGGTGCGAGCGACTCTCAAGCCTGCGTGTGTGCCCTCTGCCGTGGAAGCTGACTCTGTGAACACTGGAAATCTAGAAGAAAAGTTCAGTCTGTGCAACTAAGCTTAATTAGAACTATTTGTTGTGTTTTTAAAGCCAAATCACTTAACATCAATAAAGACGCCAAATTTTTAACCATTTTGTCTATAAGGAGAGATCTGTTTTGCATATTTTTAGATGAGTTTTTAGTAGTCTGAACATAGGATAAGCATTGGCCAATAAGAGTTAAAAGCTTTTCAAGTACTACTTTACAGTACTTGCCTCATATGCTCAGAATATGGACTTGTCCTAGAGTAGGAGCTGGAAAGCAAAACTGGAAAAGAAAGTAATGACTCATAGGCGTTTAAAAATGAAGCTCTTCCCAGGTGTGGTACACACCTGCAATCCCAACAGTTACGAAGCTGAGGCAGGAAGATTGCCACAGTTCAAAGCCAGCCTGGGCTACATAATGAACTCAAGGCGAGTCTGGACTACACAGTGAGACCCTGTCTCCAAAAAAAATGAGGCTTCTTAGCAGCTTCCTTCACATTACATATTTTGTCACAGCCTGCTGGGTTCTTCTGAGGGTGCTCCTGCACCTGTCCTATAAGCAGGGTCTCTAGATATGAGGTCTTGAGCCGGGTGTGGTGGCGCATGCCTGTAATCCCAGCACTCAGGAGGCTGAGGCAGGAGGATCCTTGCGAGTTCAAGACCAGCCTGGGCTACAAAGTGAGCTGAAGGCCAGCCTGAACTGCATAGTGAGACCCTGTCTCAAAAAGACAAAAAGAAAGATATGAGGTCTTGATAGATGTGTGTGCATGTGTGTGTGTGTGTGTGTGTGTACTTACTATTAGTCTCCTTAGTTGTAGGAATTATACCAGTGAGGAAAAATAAACATATAATCCACATAGTTATGACTGGTTTTTAGGGTTTTTTTTTTTTTTTTTTTTTTTTTTTGTCTTTTTTTCTTTGAGGCAGAGTTTTGCTATACATTTCAGGCTGGACTTGAACTCACTTTTTTTGAGGGGGGAGCCATTTTGAGACAGGGTCTCACTATGCAGTTCAGGCTGGCCTTGAGCTCACTTTGTAGCCCAGGCTGGCCTTGAACTCACAGCAACCCTCCTGCCTCAGCCTCCCAAGTACTGGAATTACAGGCATGTGCTACCACACCTGGCCAGCATTTTAGAATTTTATGGATAGCCAAACTGTAAAACTCAGGGCAAAATAAGGACATTTTTAGACATATAAAATTAGGGATAAATGAATTATTAAAAGACATATTTCAGGGACAGAAGACCCACCAAAAGGGGAAGTATAGGGTACAAGAAACTTATCTAAGGTTTCAGTAGGAATTGATAAAATATTCAATGTATAAATTTAAGTGTTTTATGGATTATTTAATTTAAGGAATATCTTAAGACAACCTTATATGGTAATTTCTGACCTTATTCCAATTTAACTAATGGGGAATATGAGGCAGGAGAGCTGATGTCACTTGCTTAATGTGACCTAACTGGGTCACATGGTCAGAATTTGACCTCAGCAGTGTGAAGCCACGTAGTCTGGCTTCTAAGTTCTGTTATATTATCATTTCCCCATAGGTACGTGGTATTTCGCTTCCTGTCCTCTTCCCTTATCTCACAGCTAGACAGAGCTCACAGAAGTTGCGCTTTGTCTTTTTAAAATCTGATTTCACAAAGCAGTCAACACAGGTGAAGACATATCAGGAGTTGAACGTGTGGTGGCTCATACCTGTAATCCCAGCACTTGGGAGGCTGAGGCAGGAGGATCACACATTTGAGGCCAGCTGGGACAATAAAGCAAGTTCAAGGCTAGCCTGGACTACATAGTAAGATCCAATACCAAAGGAGAAAAAAAAAAATCTACTTTGAGGTTACTTTTATCAGGATGATTGCTAATGGCTAATGATGACTTGTAAGTGTCCTAATGATCTTTTCTCCATGTCACTAAAAGACTAATAATGAAGAAAATGCTGCTCATGATAATGATGGCAATCGTGGGATATCTGAAATAAAGTAGACAAAGAAAAGGGCCTACCTTCAGAGTTCTGCCGTCATCTTTATAGAGTGAGAACATAGCCCACCAGACCACCTACACCCCAGGGCTTCAGAGTGGTGTCTTCTAAGGAGATTTCTGATGGATCCCAGGGTTTTCTATACAAATTGTATTTCCATGGTAAATAGAGAGGAAAAGGGAGAGGAGAAAGCAGAGATAGGATCTGTTTACTGTATTCTTAAAACATCACTACCGCAAGGTATGTACGTTACAGAAGCAGGAAAGCTGGCACCTCACAGGATTCAATTCAAGGAGATATGAGGGTCCACTGCAGACTGATAAGCAGGTGTTTTTGTTTGTTTGTTGTCTCTGAGACAGGGTCTTGCTATGCAGTTCAGGCTGGCCTTGAGCTCACTTTGTAGCCCAGGCTGGTCTCGAACTTGCAGTGACCCTCCTGTAATAGGCAATTTTCTGGAATGACTTGTCCTGAAAAAGTTTCAAGACCAGTCTTTGGGTGACACTATAGATCCAGAGCATTATGAGTTACTGGAGACGAAGCCTCACGCCAGAGCCCTCGGAACAGTTCTCACAACGGCTGTCTGACTGCTTTCCTGAGGTAACGGTGATGGTGCCCTGTCAAAGGGGAAAAACCGGGCCAGGGATATAGCTCAGTGGCACAGTACCTTGCTTGGCAAGAGCAAGGTCCTGAGTCCAGTTGCTGGTACCAAAAGAAAAAAAGGAATAATAATAATAATAAAGGGAAAAACCTGTAGCCACTGTTAATGTCTGTATTAGGCTGCTTAGATTGCACTCATAATTTGATAAAGTGGTAGACTTGAAAATGCAGATTAAATGCAGGTAAACCTGAATTTATTAACAGATAGCATTTCGAAAGCTAAGTAATTTGAAAATTAGAAGCTGGGCATGCTGCAGGCCTGTAAGCCCACACTTGGGAGGCTAAGGCAGGAGGATCACCATAAGTTCAAGGCCAGTTTGAACTACATAGCAAGACCCTGTCTCAAAAGACAATTGGGCAGCTGATGTGTGTAGATACTCAGATGGCTTTGACAAAACTGTGGTCCCCTCCTCTCCCAGGTTAAATCATCCATTTCAGTGGGGTCAGGGAGTTAAAAGGGTATTGGAGAATTGTCAGAAACCCTCAGAGGACTGACAGCCAGGCCCCCTGTAACTACCACAGAAGCTGCCAGTCACCACAACACATGCTTGCCGTCCCAGCTCCTCAGTTCAAGGCTACCCTGGGCGACTTAGCAAAACCCAGTCTCAAAAAGGAACAGGGTGTGGTTCAGCACTCCCTGCTTTCAATAGCAGAGAAAAATAGTTTTAAAAGCACTTTGTTCCCTATTAGTATATTGTAGGTTTTGGTTTTTGGTCTTTTGTGACAAGGTTGTGCTGTGTAGTTCAGGCAGACCTCAAATTTGTGATCTCCCTGCCTCAGCTGCCCAAATGCTGGGATTACATGTATATACCACCATGTCCAATTTACCATAGGCTTTTTGAAAAAACATTATTTTGTGTATTTCAATACTGTCCTTGAAGTGAAACTATTATATACTTTTTCCCTTTTGTGATTAATTCCACATAATTTACAATCTTTTAATTTTTGTTTTGAATTTTTAATGCTTTTTTGGAAAGAGAAAAATCCACAAAATACACTAAAGTTAAATAATCTAGGGGTTGGGGTGAAGCTTAGTGGTAGAGTAGTTGCCTCGCATGCCCAAAGCCCTGGATTCTAATCGGCCCCACCGAGAGAGAGAAGGGAGAGAGAGAGAGAGAGAGAGAAGGTGAGAGGGAAGAAGGGGTATGAGACTAGGCTAGGATAACTAACACACAGTACCTATCATCCAGCTTCTGGATTTTCAACTTGTGTTCAATATTGCATCATCTGTACTTCTGTGCCCTTCTTTTTATTTATTTGTTTATTTAGTGGTACTAGAGATTGATCTTAGGACCTTCACACTAGGCTACATCCCAGCCTTCTTTATTTTTTATATTGAGGCAGAGTCCAGCTAAGTTGCTAAATTACTTGGCCTACCTCAGACTTTCCATTCTCCTGACTCAGCCTCCCAGAGTGCATGGGATTGTAGGCATGCACTGTCATGCCCAGCTTAGCCTTTTTTATATTATGAAGCAAATTCCAAACATCATATTTATCAGGGACTTTAAACATATATAACAAAAAACTGAATACCACTGTTATACTTGTAAAAATTGACACTAATTCCTTGATAGCATAGTCTGTAGATATCAAAATGTTTTACAGTTGTTTTAGGGCCAGGAATGAAATAATTCACCCATGTTACAATGGATGGTTGTGCTTCTTCCATCTTCTGGTCTGTTGTGGGGGCTTTCACTCTATGCCTCTGCAGGGCAGCACCAACTGCGAGGCCACAGGCAGAGGTCTCTGATCTGCACGTCTGCGGTGGAGCCTGAGAACCCGTGTTTCACGTAGTCCGAGCTGGTGCAGGTGCTGCTGGTATGGGATCCATTCACAGTGTCATGATGGTTTGTTTCATGGTACTAGGGAACCCAGGGCCTCTGCATACTAGGCAAGCACTCCAGCACGGAGCTACATGTCCAGCCCTTTTTGCTTTTCATTTTGAGACAAGGTCTCATTAAATTGCCCAGGCAGAGCTTAAACTTGTAGTCCTCCTACCTCAGTCTCCTGAGTAGCTGGGATTACAGGCCTGTGCCATCATGTCCAGCTCTCAGTTCAGGTTTTTTGTTTTTGTTTTTTATCTTTTGGAGACAGAGTTTCACTACGCAGTTCAGGCTGGCCTTGAACACACTTTGTAGCCCAGGCTGGCCTCCAACTGTCAGTGATCCTCCCACTTCAGCCTCGTGAGTGCTGGGACTACAGGTGTGCGTGCATGCACCACCACACCCAGCCATTTCTTTGGCTTTTAGGTTTAATTTTCAGAGATTCCCTTTTAATTGTACTTTATATAGTGTTTTAATGGGATTCTAGGCTAGACACTGAAAATATATTCAGTGTGCTCAGACATGGACACCTACCCACTCCTTACTCGCTGTTTTAGGGTATAGTCCCACTCCTCAATCCAACAGTGGGTGGAAAGACAGCAGGCACAGCATACAGAAGAGCCTCATGTAGGGTGGTAGGAGCACTGCCTGTAAGGACAGTGCCCTGTTTTCTTTCCCATACCTGCTGGCTCACGAGGGAAGACCCCCTGGGAAGACACCCAGGTGGGGGTGTCACCACCACTGCCTCACCCCAGTCCTCATCACTGTCCCTTTTTTTAAATCTATTTTTTATATTTTCCAATCCTTAAATTTTTAATTCAAAGTACATTTAAGTTTAATTGCATATTAGATATATTCTGAGTTACATATATGCAACAGAACAATTTTTTTACAACATTCCTTACAGACCTTTGTGCGATTTACACAATACAGAAAAGCATCCATGAGAATTTAGATACACATGCAAGACCCCCTGCAGTAGCCTCCCTGGCAGGCTCCTTTCCTCTGTGTAGCCCAGGTTTGCCTTGAACTCAGGGCAGTCCCCCTGCCTCAGCTTCCCTAGTGCTGCAATTACAGGCATGAGCCACCACACCAGGCCACACTGGACACTTGACAATTCTTAGGCACCTCGAGTTTTTTTTTTAATTAATTGTTTATTGGTACATTTTAGGTATATATAATGATCACATTCGTGGCACCTTAGTTTCTACCAGGGGATTGTATAACAGAATTCTTTACTCGTTATTTTAATTAAATACATTATGTATTATGTAAATTAATAAGATATGAATACAAGATCAAGATTGCTCCCATGAAAAGTAACCTGGTTTGGAATGACCTAATAAGACAAGTTGTTAAAAATAATCACTGTTTGGGGCTGGGGATTTAGTTCAGCGGCACAGCTCCTGCCTGGCAAGCACGAGGTCATGAATTCAATTCCCATACTGGAAAACAAACAAACATACAAAAAAAATCACTGTTCATTTGCATGTGGATGATACAGCAGAGACATAAAAAGCAACAAAAAACTTGGAAAGATTCAGCAGTCACAGCCTTCCATTTGTATTTAGCTCATATGCACTTCACAGAAACCAAAACTAGAAATCAGTAGTAAAACATTTTGAGTTGGACTTAATACAAAAAAGAGTGAGACTCCAACCAACAGACTCGCGCTCAAGCAAAAAGACTTCGTCTTACATCAAAAGTGAGTGCTTGTATATTTGCGTGTTTCCAGTTAAGGTAAATGTCGCTAAAATATGTATTTTTTTCTTGGCTCAACCCTGTAATTAACTTTAGGTCAACCGTCAGATTATTTATTTTAGTCACAAGTCACATCAAATACATAGGCTTTTACCTCACAGTGGATTCTTTCTTTTTTAAAAAACAGTACTGTGGGTTGCTCCACAACTGCCTGCCGTTTCTACCTCTTTTTTCACTTTGAGACAGGAGCTCAGTGAGCTGCCCAGGCTGGCCTCGAACTTGTGATATACTGCATCCATCTTTACTTCATAGCATTTTTGATGGATTATATAAAACAAATGATATCATGCCTGGCATAGTAAAAGTATTGGTCTTCAAACACAGCAGTACTTTGGGAAGGAACTAGGTATCTTCTTATTCCCACGGCATGGATGCCAAATCAGGTGGAGAGGTTTTCAGTGAGTTATCCAAAATCACACACCAGTAGGTGGCAGAAACAGGAAGAACCGGCTCCTGCGGTATGAGGGTCGAAGCTTTTTGTACTCCAGCGCCTAGCAGTGCTGAGCCTATTGGGCTGCAGCGTGAGCTGAGGCAACCTGGCCGCCGTCCAGACCTGTTACCTCACGTGCGCGGCGTGCTCATGTAACAAAGTCAAAGTCTGCAAAGAGGATCACTTCAGTGACTACCACGTGTCCTTATTCCATTTTTAAAAATCATTGCCTCATTCTTGTATCACCTTCTAAATAGTTTATATTATGAAGAATTTTTGAATCTTGGAAGAAATTTTAAATTTATTCACCTGTCACCAGATGGGCAAAGAAAAGGATAAACAAAAGCCCACTAAGGGATGCTATTTCAAAGGGCTACCTTGCAGATGGAAGCTAAACATAGATTTTAATCCAGAAATGTATATTTGGATCCAAGGTTTATCTGGATGCCCAAGAAATCCTACAGTATAATCAAAGGTCTTTTATTACATAAAAGTGATTTTTAGATTTATAATTATTCCAACCATTTGCTGAAGAGTCAATTTGATCTTAAACAGATATAACAAAAACATAGAGCTGGGTGTAGTGGTGCACGCCTGTAATCCCAGCAGTTGGGAGGCTAAGGCAGCAGGATCTTTACAAGTTTGAAACCAGCCTGGGCTACAAAGTAAGCTCAAGGCCAGCCTGAACTGCATAGTGAGACCCTGTCTCAAAAAGACAAAAAATAAACAAACATACTGGGAATTGAACCCCAGGCCTTCACAGTGAGCTACACCCCAATCTTTTATTTTTTTATTTTGAGAATCTTTTTTTTTTTTTTGAGGTACCAGGAATCGAACTCACAACTTTGTGCTTGCCAGGCAGGTGCTGTGCCACTAAGCTATAACCCCAGCCCTTATTTTTTATTTTGAAACAGGGTCACATTGAGTTATCCAGATAGGCGTCAAATTTGCAGTCCTCCTGCCTCAGCCTCCCAGAGTGCTGAAATTGCAGCTGTGTGCCACTATGTCAACATTTTCAAACTTTCTTGGCTACAGTATAGGGCAAGGAATTACACCATTGCAATCCATATATACAAGTTTCATGCAATAGTCATCTCACATACATTTGAATATTTTATTCTTCCATTTTTCAAAAAGAATCTGTTCATAATCCACTCATGTTACCAGCCTCTAGGTGTTTTGGCACCAGGTGGTTTGAGACAACAACAAGCTCTTCTAGAGACAGAGATACTAAGAGATCTTTGGAATTTCATTAGGAAACTCGGTGGGTGTGACAGCACACACCTGTAATCCCAGCTGTTCAGAGACTGCAGTAAGAGGACAACAAATTTGGGGCTAGGCTGGGCAACACAGCAAGACTCTGTCTGAAAATAAAAGGGACTGTAAGCTTGTAACATTTCTAACTAAATGGACACACCTTCAGACCATTCTCTTAAGTGAAATAAATTAGACACGTGTAAATTCTATTGTTGAGCTGGGCATGGTGGTGCATGCCTGTAATCCCAGCCCTGGGTAGGCTGAGGCAGGGGGATAGTTGGGAGTCCAAGACCAGCCTGGGCTACAAAGTGAGTTTAAGGCCAGCCTGAACTGCATAGTGAGACCCTGTCTCAAAAAGACAAAAACAAAAAACAAAAAAACAAAAAAACAAAAAAAACACACATTGTTTCTCTGATGTGAGAAACGGAAAGTGTAAATAAGGACTAAAATGTATAACAGATGCTGGGAAATGGGAAGAAAATGTTCAAATGGGAAGGGGACCAAGGGAGGGAGGGGAGGAAGGAAAGAAGAAACAAAGAAAAACAGAAGGAAAAAGTGGTAACAAAGCTTTTGTAGATAAGGAGGTAACGGGATTGAAAGGAAGAGGGGAGAATGGGGAGAAAAGAAGCAAGATATATCATGTACAGGTACAAACTCCCAATGATGAATGTGATCATTCTGTGTGTCTAAAATCTACCAATAACCGGGGAGATAGTTCAACAGCACAGTGCCTGCCTGGCAAGCTCAAGGTCCTGAGTTCAATTCCAGATACCAAAAACATAAAAAAATTTAAAAAAATAAAATGCACCAATAAAAAAAAGAAAACAAACCAAAAAAACCCACCATAAAATAAAAGGGACCGAATATGTAACTCGGAAGTAGACCACTTACCTACACGGATGAGAACATGGGTTTAATCCCCACTACAGGGAAAGAAGGGCGATTGGCCTGTTGTAGAAATTACCCCTGTAGTCCTGGCTACTAGGGGGGCTGACACAGGAGAACTGCTTGAACTTGTGAGTTTGAGACTAGCCTGAGCATCATAGTAAGACACTGTTAGAGAGAGAGAGAGAGAGAGAGAGAGAGAGAGAGAGAGAGAGAGAGAGAGAGAGAGAATGAAGAAAGAAATAGAGTTGAAGTCAGCTTGACAGAACAGTTCAAATTAGATGTGGTGGATTTAAACTGGGTGTGACGGTGAACAGCTGTAGTCCTAGCTCTGGTGGAGCTGAGAAGCTGAGGCAGGAAGATTGTAAGTTTGAGGCTATTCTGGACTATGTAGACTATCTCAAAACAATAACAAAAACATGTGGACTCATCTAAGACTTTGACTATTATTAATGGGTAACTGAGTGACAAAAAAATCAAGAAAAACCAATTTTCTAGAAAGCCATTAGTCAAAGCCATGACTTCTTTCCTCACACATGCTGAAATATAATTCTTGGAAGTCCAGAAAATTTTAGGACCTCGACACTGGGACACTGGTATTAGGATTTCACTGCATATCTTTATATACCCAGCATATTTAACAGGACCTTGTGCTACAGGTACTATGGACACAAAAGTGAGTTTAGTAGGAATCTGTGCTCAAAATCTAAGAACTAGAACGTAGATGAGGTGGCTGCTGCGTGCTGTAATCCCAGCACTCTGAGAGACTGAGGCAATCACAAGTTTGAGCCCAGCCTAGACCATACAGTGACTTAGTGAGACCCTGTCTCAAAAAATAAATCAACAGGCATAGTGGTGCATGCCTGTCAGCTCAGTACTTGGGAGGCTGAGGCAAGAAGCTCGCCATGAGTCTGAGGCCAGCCTGAACTACAAAACGAGAGACCTTGTCTCAAAAAACCTAAATAGCTGTGTGTAGCAGTGCCTGCCTGTAATCCCAGCACTCAGGAGGCTGAGGCAGGAGGATCATTGGGAGTTTGAGGCCAGCCTGGGCTACATAGCAAGACCCTGTCTCAAAAAGACCAAAAAAGAAAAAGAAAAAATAAATAAATAAATAAACAAATAGATTTAATGAAATACAAAAGGACTGAGAATATAGCTAAGTGCAAAGGCCCTAGGTTCAGTCTGCAGTATGGAAGAAAAAAACAAAAACAACAAAAAATACCTTAACAAGTGGCTACTGTGAGCATCATTCCGTCCAAACAAAAGAGGACAGTAGTTCCAGGCAGTGAACTACATACTCAGAAAACGTTCAAAAACCTATCTAGGTTGGCAGTAGATTATTTTTCTAAGCTTCATTTGTCTGAAAGCTTCAGCTTTATCAGTAAAATCTTGCTGATAAAGTGCTGGACTTGTAGATAAACAAATTTCATTTCCTTCTAGTCTAGGTTGCTCTCCATGTTCACTGGGTAATTTAAGGCCCCCCATTTAATTAAAAACCTTATCTTCTCCACCAATGAAAAATAAATAATAGAACCCATTCCTTGCTTATCACAGTAGATGGGATTTATTGATACCCAATAAAGATTAAAACACCCCGGAGACTTCAGCTAGCACAAAGTGCTACAGTGTCTTGTCTTGAAAGTTATATGACTGCAGATGTGGAGATCACAATCTCTTTTTTTTTTTTTGGTTTTTCTCCGGTACCGGGGACCGAACTCACGACCTTGCGCTTGCCAGGCAGGATCTTTTGCCGCTGAGCTAAATCCCCAGCTCCACAATCTCTTTAATTGTGATATGATTCAATCCTTAAAAATTCTAACAATATGATTCTTACCTCACCTCCATGATTTTCAGCCGCGCCAGAGCAACTCAGCATACCAGGCTAGGGGCAGGCACTCACAACACACAGTCCGTATCCTCTGGGAGCAAGGCAGACAAACACGAATGATTGCAGTGTGTTCTGCCATAGAGCGGGGTTTACAAGAAAGGAAACCACTGATTTCCTTGGAGAGGATTTGGGGTTCTGTGTCGGTGAAATCATTAAAACAAAACCCTTGCCTTCAAGGAGCTTAGGAGTACAAATGTGAAGACATTTGAGTGAACCAATGAAATATGGTAAGCAGAGATGAACACTGTTTTAGGAGCACAGAGGAGGGTATGTTACATAGATCCAGTTGTAATGAAAGCATTCAAGGTGGGAAGAATAATGCACCCAAAAGCAAGAAGGCAGGAAACAGTAAGTAGCCATTGACTACAAGCAGGGAAGTGGCATGATCTGGAGCTAGGTGAGGTGCTACGCACCTATGATTCCAGCTATGTGGGCGGCTGAGCAGGAGGACTGAAAGTTCCAGCCTAGCTTGGGCAACTGAGTGATTTCATGAGACCCTGTATCAAAATAAGAAGTAAACAGAATGCAGCTCAGTGGTAGTGCTTGCCTACCATGTTCAAGGCCCTAAGCTCAAACCCCAGCACTACCAAGTGTAATGGTTGATATAGTGTGTCAGATTGAGAAGTTTAGACCTTTACAGGACTCAGCAGGGAGCCAGAGTCCTTTGTAAACATCCTCATCCTGTGCAAGAGCAGGACATGGAGATTGTGTGAGCTCGCGGGTAGAGCGGGGAATAGCCTGCTTAGAACATAAGGGAGGAAAAAGAGGCTTATTTTCCCACCCACCGACCCTTGTGCTCTTGCTGCCTTTGCTATGCCTTGAAGTGTTGCCCCTGTGCCATGTGCCACCCTGCCTTGGAGCCAGCTGATTATGGACTGAAACCTCCGCAAACTGTGAGCTAAGTAAACCTTTCGTTCCTTAATTTTGGGTGTCAGGTATTTGTCTCAGCAATGAGAGAAAAGTAATCATTCTGGTAGCACATTTACAGTTCTATGGGGATCCTGTCCGATGGGGGCAATGTCAAATGATCAGACAGCTGAACACTTAATTACAAAAATTGTTTTGTTTTTTTTTTTCCTCTTTAAAATGAAAAACAACTAGCCAGGCATGGTGGTGCATGCCTGTAATCCCAGCACTCAGGAGGCTGAGGCAGGAGGATTGTTGTGAGTTCGAGGCCAGCCTGGACTACAAAGTGAGCTCAAGGCCAGCCTGAACTGCATAGCGAGACCTGTCTCAAAAAGGCAAAAAACAAACAAACAAAAAAAGATTTCAAAAGTGCAATGCATATTTTAATCTATTTACCTCATTTTTCAAATCCCCTCTTCATTGCATGGGTCTAGTTTTCTTACCTTCATGGTTTCCACAGTTCATCTTCCTGCTGATGTGTGTGTGCCACCTAGTGATGGTAATTGGTCCTGCCTGCTTTCTAGAGAAGTATAGAGCTTTGTACCCACTGCGCAGGGGCAGGGAGGCAGGTAGAGTGGGTCAGGTGCTGAGAAGATTCTAGAAGCGGCACTCAAACAGCAGAGCATGAAGACATGGATGTTGTGAATGCACGGCAGGTGTGATAACACCTTTCTATTCTTAACCTCTCCTTCCATTCGCCCGGTGTCTCAGCCCCCTGCCACAAGAGAGCAAAACAACGAAAAACAGTAAGTGGTTGTCTGACAGGAATAAGGAAACAGAGAGATGAAACAAGCATGAGGACTGCCTAGAAACTCTGGCTGCGGGGACAGTGAAGAGCTGCACTAGTTTACATTCCCACCAGTCATGTTAAAGAATTCCTTTCCCCCACATTCTTGCCAGCATTTGTTATTATTTGACTTCTTGGTGATAGCCATTCATTCTTGAGTAAGAGGGTATCATCTCTTTTAATTTGCATTTCTCTGATGAGCAGGAATGTTGAACATTTTTGCATTTATTTATTGGCTATGCAGAAGCTTTTCATCTATTATGATCCAATTGGTTGATTCTTGGTGTTATTTCTTGTGCCATGGGTTCTGTGTAGGAAGTCCTTGCCTCTGCCTGTGCCTTCAAGAGTTTTACGTAATCTTCCAGAAGAATAAATGTTTCTGTTTCTGTTTGACAGCATTGATCCATTTTGATTTTAGTTTAGTACATAGTGAGGTATATGAGTCTAGACTCAGTCTTCTGCTTATGGTATCCAATTTTCTCAGCACCATTCGCTAAGGAGGCTGTCTTTCCTCCCGTTTATGGTTTTTGCCCCTTTGTCAAAGATTAAATTGCTGAATGTGCATGGGGTTGTTTCTACTTCCTCTCTTCTGGTCTACTGATCTACATGTGTGTTTTTGTGCCAGTACCATGCTGTTTTTATGACAGTAGCTTTGTAGTATAACATCATATCTGGGATTATGATACCACTTGTTTGCTTTTGTTAGGATTTAGGACTGCTTTTGCTATTCTGGGTCCTTTCTTGTTCCATATGAATTTTAGGATTGTTTTTTCTTGATCTGTGAGTAAAGCTGTTAGTGTTTTGACTGGGATATATATATCTATATCCCAGATCTATCTATCTATCTATCTATCTATCTATCTATCTATCTATCTATCTATCTATCCATTTGATTATATTGGTTCTGCCTGTCCAGGAACAGGGAATATTTTTCCATTTTCTGATGTCTTCCATGATTTCCTTTTTCAGAGTGATGAAATTTTTGCTACAGAGGTCTTCCACTTTTTTTTTTTGTCTTTTTGAGACAGGATCTCACTATGCAGTTCAAGCTTGTCTTGAACTCACTTTGTAGTCCAGGCTGGCCTCAAACTGGAGCTCAAAATGATCCTCCTGCTTCAGCCTCCCCAGTGCTGGGATTACAGGCATGCACCACCAAGCCCAGCTAAATGTGTTTCCTGTATGCAGTATACCATTGGGCTTTCTTTCCTGGTCCATTCTGCTAATCTGTGTCGTTTGATTGGCGAATTGAGACTATTCATGTTGGTAGTTATAACTTATAGGTATCAACTATGAATTATTCCTGACATTGTATTGTTCCTGACATTGTTGCTTATTTCTCTTCTCCCTGATTGTACTTCCTGGTGTATTCATTCTATGGGACATTTTGACATTGTCACTTTCATTGTCTCTAAGACATCCTTGAGATTTTTTTTTTGGGAGTGTTCATTTGGAGGTTTGTTACCAAGCACTTAAGCACTTTGAGTTACGTGTTCTCAAGTTTGCTTACTAACTGCTGACCCAATCAAAGGAAGCCATTTATTTAGTAAAAAGGAAAAAAGGATTTATTCAAAGCTAGCTCCATGGAGATATAGCCATCAATAAGTAAGGAACAGAGGGGGTGGGCCCAGAGACAATGTACATCTCCATATCTGCTTTATCATTTCTGGCTATCTTTGATTAATTCCTTTTTCTAGTGGAATGGAACCTGGGCTCCTGCCTTCTGGGACAGGCTTCTACATATTCTGTCACTTCTTTTAGGCTGAGGGGAGGAAGTGTTGGTTATATGCTTAGCAGAAAGAACTCTGGAGAAATTGTATCTCTACAAGAAGCAAAACCCAACTTTTAAAGTTCTGTTTTGCAGTGCCAGTTTCATGACTTGTTTAAATTCATTTGTAAAGAGACAGAGCCAAGATTTTGTTCTTTAACATACACCTTATCAATTAGCTTTGACAGGATCTCTCTGTGTACATTCTATGGACTTTGACAAATATTTATTGGCATATAGAATAATTTCACTGTCACATGTCTTTTGTTTTTCTGTCTTCATGATGCCTGTTTTCAAAAGGAAATATTTTAGGCCCTTATCATGTGTGAGGATTGCATCCTAAGGCTTTTGTGGGTCACCAGAATTATAAATACCACTAACATTATCATTTGTCCTTATAAAGTACAAAGGATTTTACTGAAATGTTTAAGGAAACTTTCAGAATCTTAATGAGTCTTTAAATAGAAGATTGATGCCAGGTGTGGTGGTACACACCTGTAATCCCAGCACTCTGGACGCTGAGGCAGGAGGATCATTGTGAGTTCGAGACCAGCCTGGGCTACAAAGTGAGCTCAAGGCCAACCTGAACTGCATAGCAAGACCCTGTCTCAAAAAGACAAAAAAAAAAAAGATTGACTAAAGCAATTTTTAAATCACTTTTTTCTCAGATATTAGATCTTCTTTTGGGAATCAGTTTTAACAAAGAAAGCATATATACTACTTCATGTAAATTAGTATAAATATTTAATTAAGTGACACACACACTCCAGGCATGAGTGGGGCTGATGCACCAGCCAGATAAACACTTAACCACAACAGTTTCTGGCTCATGAAATTCTAATCTGTTTCAGAAGAAGGTTATGGACCTTTAAGGACATTATTTAAAATACTGTGTTAGATGTTAAATATCTGTAAAATCCAGGTGCTAAATGCATATAAATTGGTAGGTCCAATGTCTCAGCCAGTGCTGGGGATATAGCTCAGTGGCACAAGTGCCTGCCTGGCAAGGGCAAGGTTCTGGGTTTGATCCCCAGTACCAAAACAAAAAACAAAAAACTCTATAAGCTGGGTGTGGTGGCACACTCCTGTAATTCTAGCACTTGGGAGGCTGAGGCCGGAGGATTGTTGTGAGTTCGAGGCCAGCCTAAGCTACAAAGTGAGCTCAAGGCCAGCCTGAGGTGCACAGCGAGACCCTGTCTCAAAAAAAAAAAAAACTAGACCAAAAAAAAAAAAAACCAAAACAGTCTCAGCCAGTAGTCAGGTGTCCTTAGGTTTCTGTGTGGTACTGTTTCATAGCTGCTACCCTCAGTATCTCACCTTGCTATGGCAAATAGAAACACGAAAACATTACCCAGGATTTGGAGGCAGATTTATTTATATTGACAAGCACTGAACTCAAGAAAAAATGTCAGATCCCGAAGGCTCATGGAGGGAGGTTTTCATGGGGTTTGCAAATAAAAAGGGAGAGTACTTGGCTCTCTTTGATTGGTTTTTACAATATGCATCACGGTGACCAGCCACTTCGAAGACACAGAAGTAACAGGAACTGTAACAGAAACTATTACATGGGCAATTAACAGAAGCTGAAGTATACTGGCTGGTAGGGGAGCATTTTCTGCTATGACCTATTACTGTAGGAGCTTTTCCCCTGGGTTCCTTATATATTCTAGATACAGTCCTCTGTCCAAAAAATGGCTGGCAATTTTTTTCCATTTTGTAGGTTATCTTTCCACCCCACTGATTGTTTACTTTATGGTATGGAGCTTTTTAATTTGATATAATTCCATTTATGGATCCTTGGTGTTATTTCTTGTGCAGTTGGGTTCTGTTTAGAAAGTCTTCACCTATACCTATATCTTCAAGAGTTTTACCTATTTTATCTTTCAGTAGATTTAGTGTTTCTGTTTTAGTATCTAGGTCTTTGATCCATTTTAATTTTTTTTTCAGTATAGAGTGAGAGATATGGGTCTAGATTCATTCTTCTGCATGTGGATAGGCAGTTTTTCTAGGCTAGCACCACTTGTTAAAGAGGCTACCTTTAACATTTTAAAAATTAATTTATTATTATTATTTTGGTTGAGACAGGGTCTTGCTATGTAGTTCTGGCTGGCCTTGAACTCGTTATGTAGTCCAGGCCAGCCTCTTAATTGTAGCAATCCTTCTTCAGCTTTGCAAATGCTGAGGTTGCAGGCATGTGCCATCACACCATTACTTTTTTTTTATTAGAACTTTTTCCCCTTTGTTACAGATCAGGTATCAGAATGTGCCTGGATTTGTTTCTGCATTCTCTATTCTGTCCCATTGATCTATACATCTGTTCTTGTGCCAGTATCATGCTGTTTTTATCACTATAGCTATGGATTGTTTTTACTATTTTGCATCTCTTCTGCTTCTGTGTGGTTTTTTTTTTTGTGGTTTTTTTTTTGTGTGTGTTTTATTTTGGTCTTCTTGAGACACGGTCTTGCTATGCAGTTCAGGCTGGCCTTGAACTCATTTTGTAGCCCACGCTGCTCTCAAACTTGCAACTATCCTCCTGCCTCAGCCTCCCAAGTGCTGCGATTACAGGCGTGCACCACCACACCTGGCAGCTTCTGCTTCTGCTTGAATTTTGGTATTTTTTTCCTATTTTTGTGAAAAATGCTGTTGTATTTTGATTAAGATTGCATTAAATCTATATATCATTTTGGTAATATGGCCCCTTTTTACAATATTGGTTCTTCCTATTGGGGAATAGGGAATGTCTTTTCATGTCTTCTGTCTTCTTCAGCCTGCCTCTTTCTCTTCCTCTCATCTCTTCTCCTCTCCTCTCCTCTCCTTTCCTCTCTTCTCTGCCTATTTCTTTCTCTCTTCTCTTTGTCTTCTCTTTTCTCTCTTCTCTCACTTTCCCCAGAATATTACAGTTTTCATTGTAGTATTTCCTGAGAATACTATAGTTTTCACATTCTTGGTTATGTTGATTATAAGTCTTTAATTTTTTTGGAAGCTGTTGTGAGTAGAATTGTTTTCCTAATTTCTTTCTGTGGATTCATTGTTGGTGTACAGGAATGTGACTGATTATTGTGTATTTATTTTGTATCTTTTTTTTTTGTCTTTTTGAGACAGGGTCTTGCTATGGAGTTCAGGCTGGCCTTGAGCTCTCTTTGTAGCCCAGGCTGGTCTCAAACTCACAACGATCCTCCTGCCTCAGCCTCCCAGGTGCTGGGATTACAGGTGTGTGTCACCATGCCCAGCTTTTATTTTGTATCTTGCTACCTTCCTGAATTTGTTTCTTAGTTATAGGAGTTGTTTGGTGGGGATTTTTGGGTCTTCTATGTAAAGGGTCATGTCATCTGTGAATAAGTATAATTTGACTTCTTCCATTGCTTTTTTTTTTTTTTTTTGTCTTTTTGAGACAGGGTCTCACTGTGCAGTTCAGGCTGGCCTTGAGCTCACTTTGTAGCCCAGGCTGGTCTGGAAGCAAGGCTCCTACTGCCTCAACCTCCAGAGTGCTAGGATTACAGTTGTGCACCACCATGCCCGGCCAGACTTCTTCTGTTGCTGTATACATCCCTTTTTATTTCTTTCTTTTGCCTAATTGCTCTGGCTAAAGTTTTGAGTACTGTATTGTACAGGAATAGTGAGAATGGGCATCCTTGCCTTGTTCCTGATTTTACAGGAAAAGCCTTCAGTATTTTGCCCTTTACTCTGATGCTGGCAGTGGGTTTGTCATAAAAGGCTTTTATCAGTTTGAAATAAGGTCCTGCTATACCTAATTTCATCATGAATGAATTTGGATGTTGCTATAGGCTTTTCCTGAGTTTATTGACATGATGAAGTGATTTTTGTCTTTGCTTCTGTTTACACGATGTATTACATTTATTGATTTATATACGTCAAACTATCCTTGCATCCCTGGGATGAAGCCCACTTGGTCATAATGTATGATTTTTTTGGATGATTTTTTGCATGCTTTTTGCCATCATGTTGTAGATTTTTGCATCTATGTTCATTAGAGACTGACCTGTAGTTTTCTTTTTTTGTTAAATTCTTTGTCTGGTTTTGGAATCATGGCAATGCTAGCTTCCAGAAATGAGTTTGGCAGTATTCCTGGTCTTTCAATTTCACTGAAGAGTTTGAGGAAGTGTCGGTAGAATTTGGCAATGAATCCATCAAGTCCTAAGCTTCTCTTTGTTGATAGAGTTCTTGTTTCCACCTCTATTTTTTTTTTACCTGTTATTGGCCTATTCAGAGTTTTTATATCTTCATGGCTCAGTTCTGGTAATTCGTTTTTATTTAGGAATCTCTTGATTTCTTCTAGTTTCTGTAATTTATTTGAATATAAATTTTTAAAGTGGTTTCTTATAATCCTCTGGGTTGCAGCGGTGTGAATTATGATTTTGCCTTTTTTATTTCTAGTTGCACTGAGGGACAACTTCAAAGTCTAGGCTTGCAACAACTCTGACTCAAACTGCTATTCATTTGTCTCTTCAACAAATGCTGTATTCATGAAGAACCTAGTCTGGGTGATAGGCAGTTTGAATTAGGAAGCCTGCTAGGTCTTGAGTGACACAATTATATAAGAAGAATGTAAGGATACTCATGCTTAAATGCAACCTATAAACTATTAGAAGAGAAAAGCCCCATGAAAATGGGCAGGAAGATTCTGAATTATTTTTTCTTCTTTCTCTCTTTATCTCTCTCTCCCTTCCTTCCTCCCTCCTTTCCTTCCTTCCTTCCTTCCTTCCTTCCTTCCTTCCTTCCTTCCTTTTATTTGAGACAAGGTCTCACTGTGTAGCCCAGGCTGGCCTCGAATTTACAGCGATCCTTCTGCCTCAGCCTCCCCAGTGCTGGGATTACAGGCATGCATCAGCAAGCCTGGCTATTTTCTGGTCTTTTATGTGGAAAGTTTTCTAGCTTCTCATTGAAGGAATTATAAGAACAGTAGATATTATTGTTCAGGAAATTAAAATGCGATTGTGTACAAGTGTGTATGAGTGTGTACTTTTCATGTAATTCTAGAGAAGAGACAAAGAGCTAGCTGGCTGTTCCCTAAAGGTATTTTTTCTTTTGGAAGATACAGCTATCCAAGAAAAGAGTACTGTACACACTAATGGTGAAACCAAGCCACAGCAGTGGCTGGAGGCCTGATGCCTTGGGGAGGAACAGCGGGACCTTAGAACACAATGCTTGGCCTGAGGACGGGGAAGGGTACCGTATTACTTCACTTCTCCACCCCAGTCGCCTGAGGGAGGATATGTGGAAGGCAAGGCTGCTCTAATCAAATCGGGGTAGGCAGTTTCTCCTGGGCTCCCCTGCCTTTTAGTGTCAATTCCATTTTTTCCTGTCTCTCTGTGCTCCCATGCCTGACATCCAGCATGCACCATTCTAGCGGGCGCCTCTCCTGGCACTCCCCTCTCTGTCTCTGAATTTTCACCCTGCACTTGTACAGTTGACCAAGACCCTCTGTGGCTTCCCTGATACCTCAGGGGGTACTGCTAACAAGGTTGTCCCAGGAAATTTACAGTGTTACTTCCATCTTCTTCTAAGGGCCAGCTTCCTGGGTTTCAAACACCTCTCTTTTCCTTAGTAAGTAACCACATTAATAGGAACAAATTTTCACAGCCACCTTCATGGGGACAAGATTTGGACCTGGTATAGTAAGAATACATTTTCTTTGGGTTTACACAGAGCTGGACCCCGATCCCAGCTTCTGTATGGGGAAGCTCTGTGACTTTTCTGAGCTAGGTTCCTGTCTGTACAGTAGGGATACCTGGCGATTACCTCACCAGGCTGCTACTGAATTATGTGTGGAAGAAGCATGTACTAACGTCTCCTTTTCTTCACCAGGTTATAATATATCAAGTGAGAAGATAAATGTGAAAGGGACTTTGATAGCTATAAAGCTTTGAGTTTTGCTAATTAAAAAATATAAATAATATTAAGAATACAAGCACAGGCAGGTAAAAGAAACAGTTATTTTGGAAGAGGTTTACCATTTTTATTTTTGGTCTTTTTGGGACAGGGTCTCACTATGCAGTTCAGGCTGCCCTTGAACTCCCAAGGACCCTCCTGCCTCAGCCTCCCAAGTGCTGGGATTACAGGTGTGCACCACCATATCCGGCTTTTCTTTCTTTCCCTGTCTTTTTCTTTCTTTCTTTTTTGTTTTTCTTGAGGCAGGGACTCCCTATATAGTTCAGCCCAGTCTTGCTCCTGATGGACAATAACAACAGGAAGTCCTCTGAATTTGGCCCCACCTGTGCTGAGTTGGGCATTGCCGTTTCCATGTGAGGACCAAACCGGACACACCTCAGTAGCACTGGAAGGGTTATGAAACTGGTACAATGCGCTGGAAAAATTGACCAGAATAGTTTATTTCTACTCTAAAACTAAAAAACACTCTAATGCGCTGGTGTGCTGGTAGCTAAAGGAAGAAAACGCTGCAGCCTGCAGAGTTCAGAAGCCTGCTGGAACGTCCAGATTGCACAGGAGTTTCTGTTCATAAAGCGCTGCTGCAGATGCGTGGGAGTTAAGAGTAAGACTCTCTAAGATCCCTTGCTGGAAGGCTTGTTGTGGAGAAGGCACCCACCGCCCCCGCCTTATCGGCTGGTCTTTGCTCTTTGGACCCTATTCATTAAACTTCTCTTTAACTATTTGTCAGGAATAGCATTTACGTCGCTCTTTTAGAAAAAAAAATTTTTTTCTGAGACAGGGTTTTGCTATGTAGTTTAGGCTGGCCTTGAACTCAGTAGGTTAGCCAGGCAGTTTCCGGTTTCTGTAGGCGTTAAGATTGGGGGTGGGATCCTAGGATAACTGCGTCTAACGACGCACTCCAAAGACGCTTTTAAAGCACTATCCTGGGCTGCGGGGTAACTCAGGAGTAGGAGTCGGGCCTAGCACGCGAGAGGCTCTGGGATCTCCAGGGCCAGAAAAAAAACTACAAATATTGACCAGGAAGAAGGAAGTCCCCGCCCCGTCCCCACTCCCAGGAGATGGAGGTGTGGCTCCACCCTCCCGCTAGGCGAGGGCTTGACCAGTACGGCGGAGGAGCCGAGGGACCAACTGCCAACGCCTGCTACACGGTGCCTCCGAGCGCTGAGGTTGGCTCGAGTTTGCTTAGCCCCGCCCCCCGGAGCCACGCCACCGCCCGAGCCCCGCTCCTTTCGCGGTGGCCCGCCTTGCCCGCGGCGCCCTCCCTCTGCCCCGCCCCAGGCCCCCGCGGCCCGCCCCTCCAGTCCCTCTCAGCAGGATCCCCCGCCCCGCGGCCCTATCCCTTCCCGCTACCCTGTCCTCCCCACAGGGTGTGGGGCGGTACATAACTTTAACCTCCCGCTAGTAGAGGGTTGGTCTGCACCTCCGGAGAGGAGCTTCCCGGCCCCGCCCCCTCCCTGTTCCCGTCCCTTCCTTCCTTATCCCCGCCCCTCCCCAC